TAAAAGAACAATATAAAATCTCAACCATCTTATCTTAGCTTGCAAGGCTCAGGCCAAAGCCATAAAACACTTAATCAATCACAACATTTCTTCGCAGGAAGAGAGCTACCTATACGTTTTAATTTAAAACTGGAAATATGAATATAAAATAATTTATTTTTGTAAAAAAACACAACCGACTTCAAACGCTCTAAAAAGAATGAAATAATTTCAATAAAGTAAACTTTTGTATTAGGCAAGCTCACGTATTTTAAGTCGGCGCGACTCTATGATGATTTTTGATACAAAATTGAAAGAGGGTGTCCATATTGCAGGTGACTATCTATAACCAAAGGCGTTAATCTGCATGTCTTTTTCTTAGTTATGCGTTAAGTGTTATTTTATTACCGTAATTAGAGATCGGCATCATAGTGGTATTAACGAGTATCTTTAAAAAGATAATAACGCATTTAAATGTTTCTAACTTGGAAAAGAAACGTTTTAATACTAAACTAGCTTCTTTTCCCTATCATAATATCAAACTAAATTAGTTTCCTATTCATATAAAACATTTGTGTGTGTTATTTTCATAATGCATTTATTCTGAAGTAAACATAAAATACAAGAAAATATTTCCTTTAATATATAAACAAAACAGTTCAGTATGTTTTTTATATATTTATGTTATCCAGCTACAATTTATTGATTTTCAAAATCCACACACAATATTTAATTTCAATCATATTTGCAGTTTGAGCCGCGCCGACTTGAAATACGTGAGCTTGCCTAATACAAAAGTTTACTTTATTGAAATTATTTCATTCTTTTTAGAGCGTTTGAAGTCGGTTGTGTTTTTTTACAAAAATAAATTATTTCATGGTTTTTAGTGACTGTATAATTTTATATATATATATATATATATATATAATATAATAATATATAAATAATATTTGAGGATTTTTGATGAGCAAAACTGTTTGAAACAATCAAAAGTTCCACAGAACAATCATTATTTTAAAACTGCTTGAGTCACCTGTTCAGGTTACATAATCAATGAGTATGAAAATAAACATCTTTATATATTCCTTAAGAAAGAAAGAGTTGTCCATTACATTAGGCCTAATGAAAAACTAATTGTCTTTTCTAGATACATTGAAATGTCATACATCATCGTTTCCTGCAATCGGTGTACTTCTACATTGTAAAAAGAAATACAGTAACGTCTCAAGCCTTTTGGAACAATATGAAAGTTATTCCTCAGCTACCAGCACTAAAAAATCTCTCAAAAGTGGAAAATTGGTCGTTAACACCATAGTACCTTTCGTATAGTACCTTTGGAAAATATTATATGAAAGATTGGTTCTGCTAAAAGTGGTGCAAGCCATGTAGGTGGTTTTGTTTGATCAAGATATAATAGCCTAGTCGAAATTGCAAATCATCTTCCTCTAGGACTTTCCGAAGCAGGCATAATAGTATTGATATCATATAGTAATTAGGTAAAGAATATCAATAAACATTCCACATCTGCAGATGCATGTTTAGTAATTAAAATATTTAACACTTTTAAGACAATTGACGATTATGCACTGTCACACTTCTTAGGTCGTGTAAGGAATAATTGCATTTAATTTATATTTAGACCTGTTTTACGAATGCTTTGGTTTTCACAATACACCTTTATTTGTCAATATCATACAGCTATTCACTGAAACATATATGTTTTTGTAAGTCAGAATATTCAATACTAAAAACAGAATTACTGTGTACACAAATCAGGTCAAACTTTAAAATACATTTTTTATAGTAACCAAAACAAAATGCATTTTTCTCAATGTAATTCATCCAGGCTCCATGGCAAGAAATAGTTTATTGATCAATATGAAGCAACTGTTTCATGAAGAATTGTCTGTAGCTTCATTTAAATGGTTTCAACTAACAGCTGTAGGAATGTTATTATTATTTATTGCCTTCCCTGCACAAATGTAAACAATCTGCACAAATGTAAACAAAATAAATGTTGAATATTTAAGGTTTTCAGAATTTTTCACCGAAACAAATATTATACTTAAACATAATATATAAGGTACCTAATAGAAACTCTCCTGGTTATTTTGGTGGTGGAACCACACTGATCGGTAAAAGAATCACAGAGAAATTGGTGAACATACATAGAAAAAAAAACATCGCCACAAACAAATTGAGAACCTCCTCCTTTTGTTGGTAGTGGGGAAGTCGGTTAACAAAATGAGAAATTATGTTACAAATTTCCTCGTTATTCTAAGATGTATATCAACAACACACCTGTTTATGGCCCCCACGTGTAGTTTATCGAGTGATTAACAACCTGGTACTACTTCAAAACTTGGTGCAATATCAAAACTGTGCTGGAAACCGCAACACATCACATACGTATGTTTGTACAGATCTCATACATGTGGCTGCGCAAACTTTCAGCCTTTTGTATGAAAAACTAACTAGGAGATGGTGTATTCTGTTTGGGTGGCTTTGATATGTAAGTGATTTGTATGATCTAACAAATGTTTTACATTGTAACGTACAAATTTTACCTGCATGAGTTGTGACATTTAGAACATTCATTGTGAAACATATTGACGGATTCAATAGTAATTTTTTCCCTAATAAGTTAAGCACTTGAACCAAATACAATTAATAATTATACAATTATTTGTTGTTAAAATAGTGGTCATAATTTTTTTTTTTTTTTTGTAAAAACAATTACTTTTTTGACAAGTTAGGAATTTTAGTGGCGAAGGCCTTTGATTAGGGAAATATTCATAAGGATATATATTTGTCTTACCACGAGACCTCCAGTAATAGCTTACTGCATATACAGAAAATTCACTAAAACAATACAAAGCAACAACTATGTAATAATTATTTTTTAAACCAGCTTTCTTAATACGTGGGGATGAGGGTCTTTTACTCTGTGGATCAATTTCGGAAATTACCTTATTTTTATTTACAACCAAAAGCAATAAATAGCTCTAGATAACTTTATTAGTTATTTCATCTAGTCCTAATTTAGTTAAATACTAGTTACAGACCCCATAAAATGTTTATGTTTAATAGTTTTCTGTAAGAGTATTGTAATACAATTTGTTAAACTGTTAATTTACAAATAAATCAATTCGAATTTCAAACCTAATTTGTATATATTATGCAATTAACTGAGTTTTATGAATTTAATTGATTTACCATTAAATGCTTGTTTTGTAGTAAGAGTGAGGACCCTTGGGCCGGGTTCAAATCCCACCAATTGCCAACAGAGCTATGTGGTGAAACCACTCAATTAATCATAGACCACTTAAAATTTTAGGTCGACTCATATAAAAAACAAATCCACGTATCAGGCAAAAACCCTGATAACGTCGATGATATTATGTATATCGAGTATAAACCTGTACGAAACACTATGCGATTTTTTAAGTTCAATGTAAACAAAGTTGTTATTAAAGTAATAATATATCGCAAGGAAATAGTTTTCTAAGTTAAAAACTCCTTTTCTATCAAAGAAGATGTTTTAATATTTCTTGCAAGGCATAACTGAAGGTCCAATATTTTACAGTATTTCTCTAAAACTGTGACTAAGAAGGTACAAAAATTAAGCGTGTTTAAGATTCTTCAACGCGATCTACAAAGGTTGAAACGTGTCCGTTTTAATTAAATTCCCCTGTTAAAAGTTGTATAACCTTCTTGTTTGGGGCGAAGAACTTCTACTGTAACTCATAATTTTATTACATTGTTATAAGTTAAAGCCAAACTAAATGATTAAATATATCGCTTGCATTTTATAAAACCTTATGCGATTTTCTAAATATTATAAGTAGGTAATTAATTTTATTAAAAGGCAACAATTTCAGTACTAGAGATAAAAAATAATCAACTTTGTACAGAGTTGCTTCAGGATAACCATTGTTTTTATTTGTTGTTTGATACCAATATAATATATATTATTTTCCAACAGAGAATTATTATTGAAGAATATTCTGTATGAGGTGTTGTTACCGTACAAAAACAAAATTCATACGTTTAGAATTTTTTTTAAATGTTCAAATGATAAATCAGTCACATGAACAGATAAATGATTGGATCCAGTTCCAATTTCGCGGCCGACTGACGAATAAAGTGTGGATCAACTTCCATTAACAATGATTGGCAAATTACTTGGTCATCCAGTCTTCTTGATATTATATGGATAATGTATCGACCAAATATTAAGATAACTTTCGTAACCAATTTAGATAACAAATAATGTTCCAAACATACGGATTCCAAACATGTCTCGATTCTCGTTCAATCATCGTACACCAACCCTCAAAAATTTATATAACTTACATGTAAGTTTAAACCAATTTGGTGACTTTGAGATCCTAATAAAATTTCATTTAAAGTATGTGTTGCAACTGTGTCTCAAATCCATTACAATAAAAGAACTCCCCTTTAAAAAAAATGCCATGTCCACTTTTATTACAGATGCTAAAAGAATGTCTTTAAGGTCTTTAGGGTTTATCAGTGAAAACGGATTTTTAATGGGAATATTCTCATAAATATTTAAAAGACAAAATAATTATGAAAGCATAAATCAATTATTTTGAAGCACAAACCTCGTTAGCAAGCATGAAATGTTGAGGCTGCCGACTCAGACATAGTAAAGAGAAGATTGCTTCGTCAAATATTTTCACTCTATTACCACTGTTAAATTTTTAAGCTCTACTTTTAACTGTTTATTTATTCTTGTTAATTGTTTGTTGTCACTTTCGGTTGTTAAAACGAGAGAAATCTGCAAAGTAAAAATGTGCATGTACAGTAGCTGCTTTATTAATGTATTTTTATCGTATTGGTTCGTATTTTTAATTGATCAATTGCTCTGAAAAATTTCACCTATGAATTTTACTATGGACAACCGAAAGAATATTGTAGTTTGGCAAAACAAATCACAAAACCGTTTAGAACAATGTCATTTAAATTTGACTTTGCTGCTAGGAAACGCATTTTCCGACACATTTCACACGTACATGAACAATCAAGAACATGAACAAGTTAAATAAAATTTATACATCAGCCAGAGCGTTTTCTCTTGCTACAAAACATGTGAAGGTACGTAAGAATGTTAAAAATCACTAGGAAGTAGTTACAAAAACCATTGCGATGGTTTGTGCATGAAGAATAGGTTACATTTAAACGTATTCCAATGCTACATACTAAGCTACGGAGTTCTATAAACCGTTTCTATTTCATACACATCCGGATGTCAAACAATTTAAACAACACAAAAATAAATTGGTAGTCAATAACATTAGTTTTTACACATAACACTAATAATAAGTGTTATAAACATGATTTAGAACATCAAGTTTAGAGTGAAACTACAGCAAACATGTGTGGTACAAATGCCTATTTTATTCGTTGAGATTGGAATCCAATGGATGACTGACAGTCTTCAGTGTCAAGTTATACACTTATATTAGCATGTATTGTGATCAAAAAATAAGTAGCTTTTTGATGGTTCGAAACTGGACCAAGATGTTCCTGGCTTTAAATAAATGATCCTGACTAATGAAACCGCTGATCTTAGTCAGTAACAAAGCTACACAGGTCATCACACACCATTCTACACTCATTCTTCATTCATATTTGGGTTAAAATACGCACCTAGGTGACGTCCCATCTCGATGATTGATAATTGATAATAATTGATGAATAATTAATTGATAAATAGAAAAGGTTAAATTACCTGTTGTCGCCTTGTAGTCCTAGTTCCAAATTTCAGCTTTTCAGCTATCAGACGATCCTGAAACACCACACCAAAAAATTAAAATACCCCCGCCGCAGCAAACCTGCAGACTAAGCGAATTTCCATTTGACTGATTGGATTTACACTGAAATGTCTACTTAAAAATATAACATTTATTCCCGATTTAAATAGAATTAGTTTAACAAGTACTTAGGTTTGCTGCATCAAGGAGGGTAAAATTGTTTTTTTTTTTTTTGTAAAATGTTAATAGTTAGTAAGAAATAAAAACATTTTCCAAATTTGATCAAAATATGTTCATAAACAAGCAAACTACAACAGTTTACTTATTCTCCATAAGAATAACATGGGAATTTTAAATTTACAATTTTTTGGAATTTTCTCCGTAACCGTTAGGCGCATAATAACGCTTCAATATACTAAATTATTTGTTTTTTAAGCTCTACAAAATGGTTTGGAAAGAAATTGCTAAATTTTAAGTTTTTTGGGTCAAAAATGGGCAAAACCTATTTTTACCCCATAAAACCCCCCGTAAACACCCGTTACCATGGTCCGATCATGCTGGATCGCGAACTCGTTCGAATAAACGTAGGTTTACACGTTTGTGCCAAATTTCATCAAAATCGGATCATTTTTGCTTGAGTTATCGTGCTGACGGACACACATATATATATATATATATATAAATATATAAATATATACTTTTGTGCCCACCCGGTTTGGCAGTCAGTGCGCTGGTAATTTACTCGGTGTGGCAGTCACCCGCCCGAAAGCCAGTCAGCTCTCCCATAAGCCAGTCAGGTATGGCTTCCCGTGCACTTTATACGTATGAAAACAGCAAACCGGTGCTGCTGCCTGTGTCGATAAGCGTAACTGCAATACCAATGCGGAGACTGTCTCATCGTGTGTTCTATCGTGGAGTAGTGTAGCCAGTACGGCACCCTACCCTACTTTGTAGCGGTAAAACCCAGCGGTCTGTAACCTTCGTTTACTCCTTGTTACTATTTGTGTTGGGATAGTGATTAACTACGTGTTAATGTTTAAACATGTTCATACTCCAAATAAATATGATGCACCTCTAATAAGGATCGTCGAATATTAATTAATTATAATTGGTTGAATCTTGATCCTACCCGTTCATCATCTCATATTTTAAGTTATTTTGATTTTTTTTTACCTTCAGTTGAAATTTGAGTCAACTTCTCCTGTATACAATATTTTTTATCCTAGTATTTACAGTGTTTCCACGGACCGGGAACTATACGGATTTTCTTTATCTCGAGAAATATACGTGAATCTTGTCCGAGATACTGGAACTGTTTTTACGCAATTGCGTAACGCGAAGGAGTAACTATTACATATGACAACGATATTATTCTATCTGATAAGAATAACCATGAAACTACACTCGAAAGATAAAATATTTTTATAACAATTTCAATTTTACAAACAAACTATTACAGGAATTATATTTTGGGACGGATGAATGATAAGGAAGCAACAAAAAGTGGTCACGAGTGCAAATACGGTGGGGGGAGGGGGGTACAATATAACGAACGCCAGAAACGATTATTTGTTTACTTTTCAGATACCTTATCAAATCTCTCTCTCTCTCTCTCTCTCTCTCTCTCTCTCTCTCTCTCACTCTCTCTCTCTCTCTCTCTCGCTCTCTAACAATGTACAGATTGTGGACTTTACGATTTAAGTTTTCCTGCAATTATTTCAGTTCAATCCCATACCTATCCTTATGGTTTCCTATCTATTATTTTTCAAAATAAATAGTAAAGCAGGTTAAACTATTTTTTATTTTATTTTCTTGAAACCAAACACTCTTTACCATCCGGTATTCTGCAGAGTCAAATGTTTAACACTGTGTTTATAAAAATTGAATGGCCACACAATTTTGTGTTTTATTTTTTTTTTACTAATAGTAACTGGGATATTTATATATACCAATAAGTGCTGCAAGCTGTAATAAATGCTGCTGATTAATATCAAAATAAGTTATAATTTATTTTGTATAATACATCGGTCATTGAATACAAACCATAATGGGTTTTCTATTTGTAACTTTAACTTGCAAATACAGTAGAACCTCGCTTAACTGGAGTCGCATCATCATGATGCCTATAGTAATACCAGAAACAAAAGAACCCTCGGCCGATTCGAGCCGCGCAGGTTTGAATGGTACGGCCCACCTACCTGCGCGAACCACGTGATCTTTTCGTTTCTGCGCAGGTTGTTTTGTTCGTGGTATATCTATATATATTATATAACCTCACAAATCCCAAGAAAATGTTTTATTAACTGTGTTTTTCAGTCTAATATTTCGATATGAACGATATATTTAACTATTTACGGTAATTTTTATGTGCAGTAGGTTCCCAATTATTGAAATATTACAGTTCATTTAACAAAAATAAGATGGAAGCGAAACGGAGAAATATCGATCAGTATCGTCAAGGTCAACCTATACGCTCGCACCTACAGACTGACAATCTTGCACTGACACTGACATACTGACAATCATCTGCTTCTGTCTGCTGTCACAACACTGCAATATTTTGTGGTTGGGTCGTTGGGTGATTAGTAACCATGACAACTTGTGGATGTAGAGAAACCAAAGAAAGAATAGAACAAAGAGAAATAATAAGAGGTGTTTTACATCATTTTTATCTTTATCTTATTTTTATCATTGTTATTATTACCAGAAAGACTTAAGTACAGTACTATGATTTTATGGTGTTTTATGAGTTATTTAATATTTTTATCCCCATACTTCTGTTCTGAAACATCATGTAGTAGTAGCCTAGGATGACTACGGTATCAGTAGTCTTCTAGTCTACATTTTCATTTTGTTTTGTTCTTTACGTGATTTATTGCTGTACAGTAAGCAAGTTTTGTTTTGTTTGAGTAAGCATACGGTGTAGTTTTTATTAGTAAACCAAGGTTAATGACTTAACATATCACGGTTGCGCAATACCTATTGTATTTTGACTATGTAAAATGCAAATTTATAATCACGTTAACGTCCATTTATATAGTGTCCCGGAACGGCATTGTTCCTGAGTAAGAAACATATAAATATCATATTTAAATTATCCAGAAGTCCTTAGTTACTCACACGGGGAAAAAAAGTTTTAGGCCTAAATCATTTGAAACCTGTACATTACATATTTTTGGTCGAGTTTTCGACCACTGGACGACCACTAGTTAAAGTTAATTGTATTACAACAATCTTTATAGTAAGCAATATAAGCTTGAATCGGACTTATCTGCCTTCAGCTAATCAATCATATGATAGTACGTTAGAGAGTAGGCCCATGCTGAAGTTTTACTTATACTTGAAGAATGACTTAATTTAGTACCAAGAAATAAATCACACCCCTTACATACACTGTGCTGTTTTAATGCTGTGTAGTTGATTGCTACTGTATTAACCTGTGATCGCATATTAATTCATTCATTAGGAACGTATTTAAAAAAATACTACTTTTATTATTTTTTTTTATTTCTATGATTTATTTACAATAACAGAAATGTGTAAGATTAAAATAAATTAATGTTTTGCATTGTCCATTTAAAGTTACATCATAGTAAATTAAAATTCCACTGAAACTTAAACAATAAAAGCCGAAATTAGTTATAAAGAAAACACGAGTTTCCTTTATATTGCTTTTACAATCGAAATATACATACTGAGCCACGGCTCGGTCCCCCGGTACTTTTCATTTTAAATATTCAAATAAAGTCGATTATTTTTAATGTTTTATGAAACGTGACATAGCAAATTTCCACGGAACTTTTTTTGTCGGCTACTACTTTATTTTATTTTTTGGTCAGGTTAGTTTAAAAACAGTGGATTCTGTATACAAAAAGTGAAATGTTCTAAATCATATTTTTTTATTTTTGGCTTATGTACGTAATTTTAATTGTACGAGAGGGGCTTCCCACCGTGCCGGATTGCGCCGTGCGGGCATATTTTGATCCAGTGGTGGGTGTTTGGTGTTTTGAATAAGAATACTGAATTGCTCGTTTTAAGATCGTATCATTACAAATTCTATCATTTTAAGATTCGCTTACACTTACGAGAAATGCATTTTCCATTTGTACATTTCTCAGGTACAAATTTTATGAAATAACGTACATTATTGCTTTGTTTGACAAGTAGCTGGGGACCGTGCTTTGTTCGGGAAACTTTACACTTTGAGAGTATTCCTTGGTCAATGTAATGCTATTCCAAAAATAATTATTTGTGGTATTTTTTTCTTGACATTTAACTTCTATTCAAATAATAATATCATAGTTTACTGTAATGATGAGATAGAAGAGTTTTTAAAAATTT